AAAGCTTATACAACTTGCTCAAAGTCATGTGGTAAAATTGGACTTCAAATCTAGGCATTCCAGCTCCGAAATCCACGATTCTTATGAATAACATCCTGTCCCAGCTGACTCAGACCCCTGCCTCTGGCTTCCCTCAAAGTAAGTATTGGACAACTAAATGACAGCATCAAGCTTCCTATTTCTATTGAATTTTCTACCAAATGAGTGCCATGTGCATGTCTAGTATCTTTCAAAGCTCCTGTTCAAGTATAGAAAAGGAGAGTGAAAAAGCATGGGTATCAGGGCAAACTCAGAATGATATTTTTGCAAACTTTCCATCAAACCATTATAACCTGAAACCCACTGAAGGGAGAAAGTATTACACTATACTTGTGTTTATTTAGAGACAAGATTGGACCAAGAGACTATTCCACAAATGTGAAGAGTATGACTAAAGTATTAAAATACGTTGGCTAGAATGGAACCATGGAAGAGTTTCAGGCCCCAGTAAGTAAGTAGGAAGGGTTTGGAGGCAGGCAGCCTTTTGGGGCCTTCTAACCCAACTGCAATCCTTGGTGAATGTGGTGGAATGTATCAGCGGTGCCCAAGTCTGATTTTGCTAGAAAGAACTGAGAGCTGGTGATTGTTTCTTTTTCCCCATTTCTCACTTAAAAAAAATTTTTTAATTGAGATCTAATTTATGTACCATAAAATTACCCTTTTAAAGTCTAGTATATTTACAGAGTTGTACAACCATCACCACTATCTAATTCCAGAACATTTTCTTCACTCCAAAAAGATACCCATTAGCAGTCACTTCCCATTCCCCTCTTTCCCTTAACCTCTGGCAGCTATCAGCTGACTTTGTCTCTACAGATTTACATCTTCTGGACATTACATATAAATGGAATCATACAACATGAGGTCTTCGTGTTTGACTTCTTTCACTTAGCGTGTGTTTACGGTTTATCCGTGTTGTAGCATGTTTCTGTACCTCATTCCTTTTTATAGCTTAGTAATATTCTATTGTATGGATATAACCCATTTTATTTATCCAGTCATCAATTGATGGGCATTTGGGTTGCTTTCATTTTGGGACTATTATAAATAATATTGCTATCAACCCGTGTGTATAAGTTTTTGTATGGATTTTTTAAAATTGAAGTATAGTTGATTTACAATGTTAATTTCTGGTGTAAAGCATAGTGATTCAGTTATACATATATATATATATGTATATATATAGATTCTTTTTCATCATAGGCTATTGAATATTGTTCCCTGTGCTATACAGTAGGACCTTGTTGTTTATCTATTTTGTATATAGTGTGGATGTTTGTTTTTAATTCCCTTGAATACATTCCTTTGTGGTATTGTTCTTCTTTTTGGTTATAGGCTGTTGATTCTTACAGGAATTTGCTTCACGAACTGTTATATTGGGTAGCTTTTGTTTTATTGGCTAAAGTAAGGGTTTATTTATCTCTTTATACTTGAAGAGGTGGAGATAGGGACAGTAGACAGTCTTGTGACCTAACCTTGTCTAATGAATTGCTCTTGAGTCTCGGGATAGAGAGGAGATAGTTAAGAGCTCAAGAAGTTCCTGAAACACCTGGTAAAACTCTGTGTACCAGCAGGATGCTTTGAGACCCAAAGGGACAGGTTCACCATGGTGGGGACCTTCTGGAATTAGTGCTGGAATGAAGGACGGCATGGAGGGGGCTGAGGGACATGAGCACAGCAGTCGCACAGCCACCACATGTTCATCGAGGGCCCTGGGGAGGAAGCAGAGTCTGGGAACCCTCCCCAAATAGCGGCTGGGCAGTGGCTTCCCCCAGGATGCCAGGATATGAGAACACACTGTGACATAGTGAGGCTCAAGTCCTGCTTTGGGGGTAAGAGTTAGCCCAATTTGGAAATGAACCTTTGACCCACAGGCTGGCAACCTCTGGGACCATGTCCTTATGGCCCCACCTCAAAGTTCCTGTGCAAATCCAAGTCGTTATTTTCTGCCTCTTAGGGAATTCTCGGCCTGACAAGTATGAGTAGCTTTGACCCCAGTGAAGAAAGGATGGATGGATGCATCTGTGACCTTTT